TATAATCATTTCCTGGATCTGTTTGGAGTTGAGAAATATCACCATAAGCCCCCAGTATGAGGTATCTTATACATGTGGAGATTATGGTAATGTTCTGGTGATTATCGATCGACTTGACAAGTCAGCTCACTCTTCGTTGGTCCAAAGTGACCACACTTTAGACCATTTGGTAAAATTACCCATTCTTAAATTCATCAGATTTTCTGGCATTTCAATCAGCATCTACTCTGATTGTGATTCCATATTCACTTCTTGGTGCTAAAAGGCATTCCAGTCAACCTTAAGTACATGTCTACCCTACTCAACTTTGTATTGCTTCTAAAGCAGAAAAATCGTTTAGGAAAATTGCTCGAACATCTAATTTTTAGTTGTGACCATTAATTCTTCAATCACCTAACAAATACTCTGCTGAACGAATCTTTATCGTTGGTGATTCAATATTCTGGAAGCTACCGTTGTAGTGAGATGTTATGTATTCAACACCGTTATCTTGTACTTTAGATTTGATAGACTTGTTTTGACCCTCAGATTCTTGAGTGTTCTTTTAGCCTTCTCGACATAGTTTTTCTCTAAATTCGAGAGAAATTCAATATGAATTTGCTCACTATGGCGTTGTGAACTACATTGTTCAGCTATATGGTGTGTGTGTCACTCTTGTATCTCACCGTGACACGTGTTTCACTTCCAAGCCTTGAAAAGTCTTCTTGAAGGCTATGAGTACAAAGTTATTGTCTGATACCATACTTCACCTTCGAACTAACGGCCAGTCATAACAAATTATCTGAACTTTTGTGGACATGCTGTGTTTATTTGTTCTATATTTCGATTTTTGGTATCGCACCATTTGAGATTTGGCATAGAGATTCTACACATAACACATGATTAATAAAAGAATTTTGCAAACAAGTATATCAAAGGATAGAGATTACTATGTAGCAAATTTGTGTGCTATTTACGTTCTTATCCAAAAGTGTAGAATGTGAGCGTGATTGATGTTATTCAGTTGATTTATGTGTATTTCCCAATAAGGGGCAATATGGTAATATTGCACCCTCGGGAATTATTTGCTTGCTTATCGTGACAACAGTGAGTGGTCGGTATTACAAGCTGCATACCACAACTTTGATAACTTATTTGTTGGATTCGTTAAGCAAGTAAACAAGTAGGTCATTTTACGTTAGTATTTTTAGTTATTTATTTATTTGTTGTTTGGGCTTGGCCCAAAGATACTACACACTTATTCTCAGAGTACGATACGCTACGAGTGGGTAGGTGAAATCTTTCTATGTTCAGTTTTGACTTCAGTACTATTATTTTAACTTCATTTTATTATATACATATTTTGACAATATGTTACTATATATCTATTTTTGACTTTATGTTTTAAGAAAGGATTTTGTATTTTAGTATTATATTGAAGGAGAATGAAAGTTTGAGTTTGGAGGCATAAAGGATGAATCATTGCAATCTGATCGAGACAGAATGACATTCTCTTTTATGCAACCACTCTAGCTTGATTTCTTCCTTATATATATAATTTTTTTTTCTTCCTATCTTTTGGAGTATATTATGTATAGCAAGAGATTTCAAATTTCGGGGACGAAATTATTTTTAAGGGGGGTAGATTGTGACAACATGTCCTTACTTTTACGATTTTATTAATTTTAAAAGTGCGAATTGACAAAAATGCCCTAGAGGTGAGATTATTGACTTTCGTTTACTGTTAGTTCATGATGTGTATGAGCTATTACTTTACCGTACTCTCGAAGTACTCGACGTTACGAACACGTAGGCGCAAATGAAATTGAAGTTGAAGTTACGATGAAGATTTTACAGAGTTACGAATCTGAGAAATACTTTTGTGAAAAAGTACTATTTTATATTTTATATTTTATATATTTTTTGAAATTATTATATTATTATTTTAATACTTTCTGTTTGAATATTTTAAATATTTATTAATTTATATGTGACCCGTAGGACCCACACTCACATCAAGTCACCATTCTCTGTCTTCCACGTGGCTTCCCCTCCTAATTCTCTCAAACACTCTCTTCTCACTATATTCTCCCAAGCTCTCTCCCTATGCAAATATTGGTGTCAGGACCATCATCGGCACATTCCTACTCAGGCGAACCCCACGACCACCCAAACCGAAAACATCACCTCGCCTCTGGGTTGTGAAAACAATATCTAGACCTCGGATTACAACGAGAAACTAGATCGTGACCTCCATATTTTCCGACGAGAACCTCACGGATTTCAGTGTGGGTGAGTCTCAAAAAATAACCCAAAACTTAGTCGTGTTTTTGGTTTATATTTCTAGCTTTTCTAAGGTTTTTAGTGGAGGTTTTGGCATAGAAACAGCATGGGGGGAAATTTGCCCATATTTTCCGACGAACTCGGGAGTATTACAGCCTTTTTCTGGTGAAATCCAGCCACGACCGAGGAAACCAAGGTTATAATTCGAATCCTTGGTCTTTGATCTTCATTTTGGTATAGCACATGGATAGGTTTAGTGAAGTTTTCAATTAGTCAAAACTGGAATTTATTTCGGCCATCTCATTCCCAGATTCTGGAGAAGGAAAAAAAAAGGGCCTTAAGCCCAAACTCGACCTAAAACCTAATCCAAGTCCTTGATCCAAGCCTGGCCCAAACCTTTGGGTTATTCCAGCTGGCCCAGTTCTGAAATGGTTCAAAATATTCTGGGAATATTCCTAGAATAGTCTTTGTGTTGACTTTTTCAGAATTTTCTCGAAAAACCTCATAGGCTAATTTCGACGTCCTTAGTCCGTTTTTAACATCCATTTAATGAAATTCCAAAGTTTTAATATAGTTGATAACTAGGGCGTCTCGGTTGACATTTTACGGTTGACCGATGACTTTTTACAAAAATTTTCGGGGACTCTCCCTATCGTATTTCGATGCCCTGATTCCAAATCCGCACTCTGTTTTCTTAAATTTAACTGTCTTAGTGGAGTTTTACTAATGGGTCCCAATATTATGCTTAGGTGTGATTACTAACGGAGACTCCGATTATCCTAGTTTGAATGGATGCGACCTCGCAAGTAACTGTGAGTGAGTCTTTTCTTTTATATAGCATATATATATATATATATTTGTTAGTTTCCATTTATATATTTGATGAAGAATTTTCTACGTTACACATGGATTAGGGTAACATGTATAAAACTATTGTATTGACGAAATTCATGCAATTATACTACGTCCTACGGGGCACACATGTATGTGTATTACTATGGATGCTTTAATAGTATTTACGGTTATGAATAGTATTTCACGGACTAGGGTTATTGAATTATTGAATTATCGACTTACCATTGCATGACTATATTTATGTTATATGCTCATCGTTTCCTGCACCAGTGTTAGTTCTCGTTCGGGGCAAGGCTAGTCTTTCACGTATATATGCACATCACACCGTACACTCACTTTGGATCCATTGTAGGTGCCAGTCCTATCCTAGATTGCTATAGGCAATTAGGACTCGTATGTGCTGCACTTAGCACCAATCATCACGTGATTGTAGTACTAGAGCATATATCATTATTACACCCAGTCATGTTTATGTCATAATACATCTGCATGAACTCGTATGTCAGCATGTGTCGATGAGCACTTGATATGATATGTTTGCTTATGCGAAATTATGTGATTACGGACCTCATGTATTTATTTACGAATTTTGTGACATAATGTATTATTGAGATATTGCAGGTTATGGTAAGTATTTTCATACTATACGTAGTATGTATATTTTGAAAACTATACTTGTTTTACGGCGAGGGTTATAATGTTTTCAAAAAGGTTTTTATAAAAATTTATTTTTAGGCCCACTCACCCTTGTTTTTTGCCCCTCCAGATTTTAGTGACAATGTGTCAACGAGGATTTCTGGGAAACGCTGATATTGGAGACTACTCCCAATGGTATAAGTTTTATCCTAATTTTACTATACTTTACTTATGCTTTGACATCACGTGTGAAATGAGTTCATTCCCGCTTACAAGCGCACTGTTATATTTAGGCACTTTTAGGTTTAAATTTATTCACATTTTCCACTTCACTGCACTTTATGGCTTCGTCATCCTCCTGATGTCGGCCAACACAGCTCGATTTGGAGTCCAGGTGGACATTCCAGATCTAGGTGTGTCAAGGTTAGTGTGCAAAATTTTTTGAACAGAATAGCGTGCAAATTGGCATTTTGTTGAGCCTTGGAAGGCCTGTTGATAAATGCCAATAACTTTCGAGCGAGCATGCCAACAAATGCTAACGTAGGCTGAATAAGCCTATCGACAAATGCCCATATCAGTGCATACAAAGGCATGAGGCTAGCAGCTACCCAACCGTCCATAGAGGCAATTCGTCGAGTAGTTAGACATCTTTCAAGGACATCTTAGATTTTCAAAGGCTAGCACCCAGCTTTTCCACGAAAGACTTTGAAGCTTAAGAGGGTCGGCTGACCCATCTTACCCCAAGGTGGATCCGCCCTAGTAGTGGCGATGGTACGATTGTGTTGGCGGTGATGGTGGTGTAAGGTAATGGTTATAGTGGTATGTAGGGCAGTCACTTTGCTATGAAATGGAATAAAATGTGTGCAGAATGATAAATAATGTTATTTTTTGAAACTAGTAAGGGTATTACATGAATTGAATACATTTATTAAAGGCTGAATTCCCTTTTTTTAATAAAAGAAATGTTTAAAAGCAATTTACAGACTGCTTTCAAAAGCTGATGTTTGGAGACTATTGCTTTTAAAATAAGTAAGATATTTTAATTTTACCAAACATTTTTTATTACTTAGCTTTAAAGTGAAGTAATTTTTTGTTAAAAAAAAAAAAACAATAATATCAAACCGGGCCTTAATCGCTTTTCATGGTACAAATAAACTAAAAGAAAAACATGCAAGGCCAGGCCTTCAATGAGGCCCATAAGAGATTACCAAACATCTAGGGTTTATTCTAACATACGCCGAATACAATAAAGCGCACACTAAAACACGCACATCTCGTAGGCTCGTCGTACCAGCCGTTGGTTCCGTTCCACCCCCACCACGGTGCGCACGAAAGCACACAAAACCCGCGCAAATCATGGACCTACGACAAGCCCATTCAATCGCTCGCCAATCTAACGGCTTGAGAACCGCCGTATGCGCTCGATAACCTCGTGCATCCACACAGCGCACGATAGCTTGTCTCCGCCTAAATGGTTATCGTTCTCCCTTGGATGCGCTCTATTCTCCCCTGCCTTGCCTCCCCGCCACTTTCTTCTTTTCACTATCGCTCTTTTAATTTTCAGTTAGTTATTGACCGTTACATTCACATTTCAGGTATTTACTTGTATATTTTCCCCAATTTTATTAAATTAAATTATATTCGATTGATGAAGTAAAGCTATTTCGTATACGAATGCATCTCGAGGTCATAAATTTGATTGAATTTTTTGTAATTTGGTGGCTTTACTTTTCATGGGTAAAACGTGATTAAAATTTTCTGTTGGATTCAGGTGCATTGGAGATATGATTGGGTGTTGGTGAGGTGGAAGATGAGCAGATTGTATGTGTGGGATGAAATTTTTTGAAGAGACCCGTTTGAGATTCTTGGGAGTTTGGAGAAATTTAATTGAGTTGGAGATCATAGCTCCAGGTAAGTTTATTTGGTAATCAACAATTTTGTTTTTTGATACAAGCGATAATCTGCACTAAATTCATCTAAACTAGGGGATGAGAATTCGAACTTGGGTTTAGAGAGAGGAGCACACTGCGCTAGCCAACTTGACGAAGCCCGTGTCTGAGTTTGGTAATCATCAAATTTGATTCAAATTGATGTGCTGAATCAAGATCATGCTACTTTGGCTTTGGGTTCTTAATTTAATTTTGTTGAGTATAATTATTTGTTGCAAGTGTTATTCCTTTTTCTTATGGAGTTTCATTTGAACTCTCCGCTGCTGCATTTGCCATGGTGTATACGTCTTGCAGATTGAACTCATGCAGATTACAGCCGTTTAACCGATAGAAAAAGCAGAAATTGAGTGCTTTGTTGAGCTTGAGTTCCTTGCCTGCCTAGTCATAAGATTGGTAAAGATGAATAATTAGGCGAAAATATCAGATACGAAGAAAGAAAAGTTGATCGAGTAATAGCAGACCTTTATGTGTTTGTGTATGGGTTTGTATGTCGTTAAGTTGGTTTATGGAAGCCATTGAAGTATCATCCTCTTTTGAAAATGCTTTTTATATGTTTGTCTCTACCAGAACTTTATCATTTTGCTATCATATCACCTACATCCTTAGGAGTAGAAGGGTTTAGGGTAGCATGACTTAGGTTTTGTGACCGCGCTATTTTTGGATTACATCTATTCATTCTGTTAAGCAATTGAAGTTTTTCTTGCAGGTTTAAAACTGAAGTTTAATTCGTGTATTGGGTGAAGAAATGTCAGAAGGTACAAGTCTAGGGATGGAAGATTTATCCCAGGATGACATTGGCACAATAGAGGAAACAGCTGAAGACACGATTTTGTCACGACAGACTTCGGTGAATCTTGTTCCCTTTGTTGGACAAAGATTTGTTTCCCAAGAAGCTGCTTATGAATTTTATTGCAGTTTTGCAAAACAGTGTGGCTTTTCAATTAGGCGCCATCGTACACGAGGCAAGGATGGTGTTGGTCGGGGAGTGACAAGGAGGGATTTTACTTGTCATCGTGGTGGATATCCACAGATGAAGCCATCCGAAGATGGAAAGATGCAAAGAAATCGTAAATCATCACGATGTGGTTGTCAAGCATACATGCGGATTGTTAAGCGGGCAGACTTTGATGTCCCTGAATGGCGTGTTACAGGCTTTAGCAACATCCATAACCACGAATTATTGAAATCCAATGAAGTGCGTCTCCTTCCTGCCTACTGTTCCATGTCTACTGATGACAAGAGTCGGATTTGCATGTTTGCAAAAGCTGGGATGTCAGTGCGGCAAATGTTAAGATTGATGGAGATGGAGAAAGGTGTTAAGCTAGGTTGCTTGCCATTTACTGAGATAGACGTGAGAAACCTATTACAGTCTTTTAGAAATGTTAATAGAGATAATGATGCAATTGATCTTATAGCAATGTGCAAAAAGATGAAAGATGAAAGCCCTAATTTCAAGTATGAATTTAAAATAGATGGCCACAACAGACTGGAACATATTGCATGGTCTTATTCTTCATCAGTTCAATTGTACGAGGAATTTGGAGACTCAGTGGTTTTTGACACAACTCATCGGTTGGACGCCTATGATATGCTGTTAGGCATTTGGCTTGGAGTGGATAATCATGGAATGACTTGTTTCTTTGGGTGTGCGCTTCTGCGGGATGAAAATATGCAGTCCTTTTCCTGGGCATTGAAGGTAAGAATCTTATTGGCATATTCATTATGGAATGATCTTCATAATCTTTTTATTCTCTCCAGCACATATGAACATCGACAGTCTTTGGCTCACAAACTAATTTGTAACCGAGTTTGTACCCTTTTCTTACTGACTTTGTCGTGTTTATGGTTTCTATTTGTTCCTAATACCTGTTGCATTTAAACAGACATTTTTGGGCTTCATGAAAGGAAAGGCTCCACAAACAATGTTAACTGACCATAACATGTGGCTGAAAGAGGCTGTTGCTATTGAAATGCCTCGGTCGAAGCATGCCTTTTGCATATGGCACATCGTCGCAAAGTTCTCAGATTGGTTTTCTGTACTTCTTGGTCCTCGTTATGATGATTGGAAAGCGGAGTTTCACCAGCTGTTTAATCTGGACTTGGCGGAAGATTTTGAAGATAGATGGAGGGAAATGGTTAATGAATATGGACTGCAGGCAAATAAGCATGTAATCAGCTTATACGCACTGCGGAATTTTTGGGCTCTAGCATATTTGAGGAATTACTTTTTTGCAGGAATCATGAGTACAAGTCAGTCAGAGTCGATTAATGCTTTTATCCAACGCTTTTTGAGTGCACAGTCTCAACTAGACCGTTTTGTAGAGCAAGTCTGTAAACTTTTCTTATATGTTTTATTTTTCCGGCCTTTTGGTTCATACATTCAGTAGAAATTCTTACCATGCTAAACACTTTTACAGGCAGCTGATGTCGTTGATTATAATGATCGGGTTGGGGCAAAGCAAAAGATCGAAAGGAAACTGCAGAGAGTTTGCCTTAAGACAGGTTCACCAATTGAATCACACGCTGCCTCTGTTCTTACTCCTTATGCATTTGGAAAACTTCAAGAGGAACTTGTATCGGCTCCACAATATGCATCTCTTGCGGTAGATGAAGGTTGTTTCCAGGTCAGACACCATACTGAGGCAGATGGAGGCTGCAAAGTGGTTTGGATTCCTTGTCAAGAGCACATTAGCTGTACCTGCTATCAGTTCGAGTTTTCAGGCATCCTTTGCAGGCATGTTCTTCGTGTCTTGTCAACTAATAATTGTTTTCATATTCCGGACCAATATCTACCCACCCGTTGGTGTTCTGTCAGTTCATCTTCCACCAACACCTTTGAGACTGCTACCATTACAGACAATTCTGAGAAGATTCAGTTATTGGAGTCCATGGCTTCAACACTTATTACGGAGTCAGTTGAAACAGAGGAACGCCTCGATGCTGCCTGCAAGCAAATTGCAATGGTATTATCGCGCATTAAAGACCTGCCCAGGACAACACATAATGCAATCGACATTGCATATAATTGTCCGTCTGATTCATTGATTCTGCCGGGTGTGGAAGATCACGGTGATGGAATCGTTCGTTTCACGATTGGTAATTCTCATGAATCCGTTACTCTAGGGAAGCTCAAGGAAAGAAGGCCAAGAGATATGGTTGAAATTAGTAAAAAGCGACGGCATTGCTCAGGGCCTTGCTGTCTGAGCGTCCAGCAGTGAAAGGTTTGATTAATATGTTGAATGGAGTTACAACGGTAGGGTACTTGTAGAGTAAAAGATCGGAAATACTAGGAAACGTGTAACAAAGGAATAGCATTATACTTTTCCCAACCTTCTTTACTTGTGTCCATTCTTGTGGAGCAACTTTGTATTTTTGTTCTGGTGAACCAAATGTAAGTCGAAGACAAACGACGATGACAAGAATCTGTTAGCCATCATTGTGTATTGCGGAACTAAGCTAAGAGCTGAGAAAACTTGGATAGATGGCTTAATCACGGTATCTGAGGTCGCCTTTTGCAAAAATGGGAGACATTCTAAATTTTAATTTTATGAGGCGCCACGTTGGTCTCATCTTGTGTGATAAAGTTACCGTAATGTCCCCAAATAAGGGGGACGCCTTATGCCTAAAGAAACAAAAAGGAAGTTCGTAATCAGGTACTCTTACCATACACACATGAGTAACATTCATGGACTACTGGTTATCTGCACTTCGATTAAATTCATTTGACTAACGCTAACTAAAATTAATATTTTGAACAAAATAAAAACATTCATTGAATCGTATTTTGTGTGGTAAGAAAAAATCTCTTTGCACGTGTGTCCAAGAGACTAATTAAATAAAGAAAACAAAACAAAAACTTTGTTCAAGCAAAAGCTTTGTATGTTATCTTGCATCGCCAGAAGAAAAGGCTATGCTTTTTACCAAGGCCAGCGTGGCCGATAAAAAGAAAAGAACAAAAAAAGTGTCAAGTTAAAATCAAAACAACAGGTCTTAGCATTCACACCTAAAAGTTTAAAAGGAATAGTTACTTTCTTTGATTTAAAAAAAAAAAAGGAATGATGTCATTTAGTACTTCGGTTTAGTAATATTCATTTCACTTGTAAGTAAGAGGTATTATGTTCAATTCCCGCTAAAGGCGAATTTGAATCACATTAATGCTAGAGAGACAATTCTAAATTTTGTACATTAAATAATGTGGAAGTTGATGATTGGATTATTACTTAAATATTGGTAAACGTGCTTATTTCTTATTAGTGACACTTAGTTTGCAAATTTAATTTATAAATTTAGTCTCCCTAACATTAGATAAAATAAATAAATAAATAAAGGGAATGCTAAAAATTTTAAATCAAATTTAAAAACCAAATGATGTGGTTATACATAATTGGATTATTAATTAAGTGTCAATTAACAATGCTTGTTTATTATTGATGACACATCATTTAGTTTAAAATTTTAATCTCTCTAACATTATCTTTAAATAAAACGCATCGCATAATGCGATTGCCAACCAACATCCAAATATTCTTCCTTTTCTTTACTAGCAAGTACTTTTGGATTTTGGCTTTTCCAACTTTGGAGTTTTGATGCCCTTCTTCTTTGTCAATATTTGATGGCTGAAAAATCAAAGAATTTCAATGCTAATGAGGATTTTTTTTTTAAGGAATATTATTTGAAAAATAAAAGAATTCTTATGACAAATATAATAATAGGATTAAGCTAGTCGGTGTTCCATTTCCATTGCCATGCAGAAAGAATGTGTGGAAGAATATATACTTAATCGACCGACATGACATATTGGCATTCGCATCAATTAATTTAATTAACGTGAAGGCTTTTTTGGGTCTAAAGAAATGAAACAATATTAAATGATTAGCCAAATAATATATATAAACATCTTTCGGGAAAAAAGAAAAAGAAAAAGAACCAAATCGTTTTCGTTTTTACCCTATTATAAATTAAAGTTATTGAACATGTCTCACACACACGCACACATATATATGGTTAGAATTAATTTTGTAGATGCTAAAAGTACTATAAATAGTGTGTGGTTGATGACAGATTAGTTGTTATAATAAAATTAGGTTATTTGAAAATGATTATGTAAAAAACACTTATACTGTTGAGAGTATTAATTTCACATTTGAGAAATAAATAACTTTTCATGTATTTAGTGGAGGATCTATTGTTGAGAGTTAATGGTGTGTGAAGAGTTTGTTCCACATCAGTGATGGACGAGTCTAGCTAAAACAAGTGTTATAATGCAATAATTAAAAATTCAAGTGCTTTTTAGATTTAGAAATTCACTTTAAAGTACACTATGGCAAAGCACCTAGTATGTTTGGTCCATTTGGGAGTGCTTCTGTAAGAAGCACTTATGCAGAAGCACTTCTGCTTATAGGCATTTTTACTAGAAGTGTGTAGAAAATGTTGATTTTTTAAACGCTTCTATGACTTAGAAGCATTTTAATTTTTTCAATCAAATACAATCATAAAATTAGTTGTGGTACTTCTTCTAAAAGCACTATATAATGCTCATGCAAACGCGCTTTTGGCTTTCTAATCCATTTAATGAACAACTCAAAATGCAATTCCACATCAGTTCAAATATGAACAAACGAGCAGGATACCTTTCCCATGAGGTCTTTCAAGAACCCAAGAATCTTGAGCTCTTAAAGCAACCCTTGCTCCAAACAATTCCATCCCTTCCTCTCTCATACATTCCAAAACTTAAACTTCTTATTTCTCTTCCACTTCCTGAGCCTGCATGAATAATTGTAGACTCCAAAATGCCGAAGAGAATGGCAGTCACACATGCAGACCTCTCACCAAGTCGTCCAACCAGCGGTTTAGGTAGCAAAACCAGCGCTTTCATCATGGTCTTAACCATTCTCTGCGGCCTCTTCTGCTTCATCCTATCTCTAATTGCTGAAGCTACCCGTTCCAAGGTACGCCGAAAAATGCGTTCAGACATAACAATATCATTACCAACTATGAAAAAAACTAAGCAAATTTTGCTGGTTGATGATGATTTTGTAGGTAACATGGTTGAGCAGTGATGAAGGGGAGGGGGGCGGCGTAAATGAATGTGTATACAGCGGCAGCGGGAAAAAGCCGCTGCTATGTGCGATCAGTGCATTTCTGGGACTTTCGGTTATCATGGCGGTGGAACATGGATACATGTTGTTTGTAGTTAGTAACTCACCTCCATCAGCCTTGGTTTTTTGGGAGCCTAATTATTCTGGTCCTGCAAAGAGCTTGAAATGGCAAGCTGCCTTTTTCTTTGTTGCAACTTGGTATGCCACTAATTCTTAGTCCTTCATATTTCAATTTGCCTCACTTGCACTTAGCTCTTCTCTAAATGTAGGAATTGCTCCAATATTGTCGTCAATATAACCACTAGATCCAATACAATATGAGGCCTATCAGGCCAATTTAATAACCTCTCCCATACATCCATTAGTTAAAACCGTCATCAACATAACCATAAGGTCCAAAACAAAGTTGGACATGTCAAACAAATTCATTTTTCTTTATTTACTTCTCTCAAATCCATGTTTGAAATTTCTTCGATGTTGTAGATATTTCTGTGGAAATATCTGAAAACTCAGAAAAAGATATGGAAATGAGGGGTGAAGTCTAAACGTCACTACCTATCAAATAAACTCTTAAATTTCGGCTAAAATCGACAGATTCGTCAATATTTCCGGTAGTTAAATATCAGAGAAACTATTATATATTGTCTAATAGTGTTTGACATTCCTTAAAGTTTCATTTTAAATCTTTATAATTTCCATTAAAAGCACCCGATATCGATACATCCAATGATATTTCAACAAATTTGCATATTGATAATTCCACGATACTGATATTTTAAACACCGTCTCAAATTCACTAGTTATAGCTTATAACTGCTTATGTGGGTGGTTGTGTTAATTAGGGTTTGTTTTGCTGCTGGAGAGATCTTGCTATTGATCGGGGTGAGTGTGGAGTCAGGGCACTTGAGAAATTGGTCCACACCAAGACCCAGTTGCCTTGTCCTCAGAGATGGCGTGTTATCCGCTGCCGGGGTGTTTGCTTTGACAACAGTTTTCCTTGCTGCTGGTTTATACTTGACTGCATTGAGAGCACAAAGAATCTCCCAACACCAAGAAACTGTGTGGAGAGGGGCGACCGAGGCCTCCGTACTTTATGCATCTCCGCCAACGTCACCTCCTCTCACAACCATTCCTAGGGAGAACCCCTTGTTTGGAGAAAGTCACATTGATCAGCTGCCCTTCATTGTGAATCCGACGGCTCTTAGCAAACAGTTAAATTTTTAATCTAGATAATTTGATGTTGGTGAAAACCAATGTATATGACCAATCGGCCAACGGCACTACGTTTCCGGTATCGTGAGTTAAAATTTGGTGGACAGACATTTGTTGACAAAAGAAAATGTCGCAATATAGTTTTGCATAAAAAAAAATACTTCTCTAATTTACAAAGAGAGAAATTCAAACTCGGATACATCACTATCAAATGTAGTTTGATTGTGATCAGATCAAAACCTGGTATTTGTATAAATTTGATGACTCTGCGGCTCTGTGTTTGATGTACAAATGTCTCTCAAATCTAGTGAATAAAATATGCATGTATAATATCAAAGTATGAATTATTTTACAGCTGGCAGCCCACACTTTCAATTATATTTTGTTCTTTTATAAAAAAAAGTATTTTTCTTTTGTTAAATTTTATGAAATTACAATCTAATTATTGACTTATTTAATACCTTATCATTTCTCATCCCGAGAGTTAATTATAAGAGCTTCAGTTATACACGTATTTATAATTTTGTTTAGAATACACATATTTATAATTAAAGAAGTGAAGAGTGGCATAAATTTCTCTCTTATTTGTAACGGGGGATAAATTGTTTGAAAATATAAAATATATTAAACACTAAAATAAAATCAAGTCAATTAATATTTTGTGCATTTTAGTAACAAAAAAATATTAACAAGTGACATTGACTTTTTAGCTCATTTGAGAATATTTTTAAAATGATTGAAGTGTTTTTGATGAAATTATTTTAAAATTAATGTTTAGTAAAAATGAAAGTAAATTATTAAAAAACACTTAAAATATTTAATGCTTCTGGACCTCAAAAATATAATTTTTTTAAAAACGTTTTTTATCATTTTAAAAACACTTCCAACGATTTCTTAGTTGATGAAAAAATTTATTCATCAGAAAATAGAAGAATGAAATGTAAAATTGTTTAGTAGCATAAATTTAACTATTTTGGAGTAATAAAAAATTATTTTACAATAATGAAAAACCATAATTAGTTAAGTAACCGGCGGTTATAAAATCCCGAAAAGAAAAAAACAATATAATTTCAAACACCCGATTGGGGCCTATAGAAACCCTTCTCTCTTTCGAATACTCAGAGAAGTCCAATTTCTAGGGTTTTCTGTTGCTCTCCTTCTCCGTCTCCGACCCATTGGGGATCACGATCAATCTCCCTTAGACGTAATCAAATCATACGACATGTCGCTGAGGCCGAGCGCGAGGACCGAGGTCCGCCGGAACCGCTACAAGGTGGCGGTGGACGCCGATGAGGGTCGTCGCAGGAGAGAGGACAACATGGTGGAGATCAGGAAGAGCAAGCGCGAAGAGAGCTTGCTGAAGAAGCGTCGCGAAGGCCTCCAAGCCCAACAATTCGCGCCATCTCTCCAGCCATCAAATCTCGAGAAGAAGGTAACAATTTTGCTAGGGGTTTTTGTCGCCGATCTCTTCAATTGTGGCTTTGAATGGATCCGATATTGGACGTTTAGGGTTTGATTTGATGTTTTGAGCAATAGGTTAGGGTAAAATTCAACTTATCGGTACTTATGTGGGTTTGTATATGATTGCAGTTAGAGAGTCTACCTGCCATGGTTGCTGGGGTTTGGTCTGACGACAACAGTTTGCAGCTGGAGTCCACTACGCAGTTCCGAAAACTGCTTTCGATTGGTAATATACGTGATTAAGATTTTTTTGAGTTTTTTTTCCCTTTGTGTTTGTGTTTAATGTTTTGAGTTTACATGAAAAATTTGTAGTACTGATATAATCTAAATTTTTAACTTGTAGAACGAAGCCCTCCGATTGAGGAAGTTATCCAATCAGGAGTTGTTCCCCGGTTTGTGGCATTCCTCATGAGGGAGGATTTTCCGCAACTTCAGGTCCGAATTCTTTTCTCTGTTGCATTGTTATTTATGATTGTCTGTGTTTTTGTTTAGTTGTGTTGCTGATGTATTTGATTTTGTCTAGTTCGAGGCTGCTTGGGCTCTTACCAACATAGCGTCAGGAACCTCAGAGAACACCAAGGTGGTGATTGAGCAGGGGGCAGTCCCAATCTTTGTAAAGCTTCTTGCTTCTCCGAGTGATGATGTTAGGGAGCAGGTATATGTTAATACTTATTGGCGCTGTCTGTTGGTCAATGTATAGATTGTATTTTACCACATAGATTATAGTTATACTAAACTGTTTCTGAAATTCTATTCCGAAATTGTAGGCTGTGTGGGCATTGGGAAATGTTGCTGGTGATTCCCCTAGATGTCGTGATCTTGTCCTCAGCAGTGGAGCTTTGATGCCGTTGCTAGCTCAATTGAATGAGCATGCAAAGCTTTCAATGCTGAGAAATGCAACATGGACACTGTCTAACTTTTGTAGGGGCAAGCCACAGCCTCCATTTGACCAGGTTTGTGCCTTGTACCGCCCACTGTTTGGAATTCAACAATTCTTTGATTTATCTTTCTGGCGTTTTATTAACTTTAGGGTCTCGTTATCAGGTGAAGCCAGCACTTCCAGCCCTTGAACGTTTAGTTCATTCCAATGATGAAGAAGTCTTGACAGATGCCTGCTGGGCACTCTCGTATCTCTCGGATGGCACGAATGACAAAATCCAAGCTGTGATTGAGGCAGGTGTCTGTGTCCGACTTGTGCAGCTCCTCTTGTGAGTGTTACACTCTTCATCTTTGTGCTTTTACTTATCTTTTATTCACCCATGATACTGATGGTCTGTTCTGTTGTTCCAGACACCCATCTCCTTCTGTTCTCATTCCTGCACTTCGCACTGTTGGTAATATTGTGACCGGAGATGATCTTCAGACTCAGGTATCTGGACCTTGAATTTCTTTTTCACTTACATTTTCATTACTTGTGTTATTTAAAATTTGTTTTAGAATCATACAGCAATGATTGTTTGGTCAAGGCTATTACCTGACAGCGTTAAGCTATGAATTTTTCTTTTACGTCAGGAAAATGTTAAGCATTTTTCGGTAATTCGAAATTATGGCAAAGAGAGAACCTAATTGTAAAACTCTGTTGGTCATGTCATACAAAAATGGGTGCTAGTTGATCATGTCTAGAATCTGAAATTCTGAATAACTTATTTACATCGTATGTGTGTTCAACATGTGAATTTGAAGGCTTTTTCGTTTTAAGTTTAAACCTTTATAATGAAAAAGAAATCCCTTTGTGGTTGAGTCATGGTGATTGTACGGTTATTAATTTTGTACTAATTACTAAATCTGATTTTACCATTATGTAATGTCATCTTGCTCTCATTATGTGACCCATTTTTATTTTTATTTTTTATGACCATGACAAGTAACTCTTTTCTTCAGTGTATCATCAACAATGGTTCGCTCCCATGCCTTCTGAGCCTGCTGACTCATAACCATAAAAAGAGCATCAAGAAAGAAGCTTGCTGGACAATCTCAAACATTACAGCTGGAAACAGGGATCAAATACAGGTAATCATTGTAAAATAAGTTATTGTATTGATTATCCTTATTGCTAATATTGGCTACTGATGTCTTTACACTCTATTATTGTATGTTTTGAGAATATTCTTATTTATTATTGCTTTATGCATGTTAGTTGTTACAATAGATCTCTTGTTAAAATATTGGGGTTTTCTGTGTGGACATTCTAGCATTTCGTCAGTATCTGCTGTCCTGAGTTCTGAACATGACATGTCCCTCTAACATTGAAACTGATGGTTTTGTTTTACTAGTATCAACTTTTCCGTTCAAGTTTGGAGGAAAAGTTCATCATACTAGTATTTAACTAAATATGAGATTCTCAGTTTATGTGGGAACTTTAATTATATAACTTGCCGCAAATATGCAAAGGTCATCTCTTATAGAAGTGAATCCTTTGAAAAGCTATCATTTAAATTTGTGTTCATGAAAATTAGTTACCCATGTTTAGTAATACATTTTAAAATGACGCAGTCTGTAATTGAAGCTGGTTTGATTGGTCCTCTGGTCAACTTACTCCAACATGCGGAGTTTGACATAAAGAAAGAAGCTGCATGGGCAATCTCAAATGCTACGTCTGGTGGCACTCCTGATCAAATCAAGTGAGTGATCTCGTAATTGCCTTCTTTCGGTCCTCTGGTTCTCTAGCTGTATGGATTCTTATTATGTTTGATTTTTCTTAATGGGTCTCAGGTACCTGGTTGGCGAAGGCTGTATAAAACCATTGTGTGATCTTCTTGTATGCCCTGATCCAAGGATCGTCACTGTCTGTTTAGAGGGGTTGGAGAACATTCTGAAGGTTGGGGAAGCTGAAAAAGCTGCGGGTAACAGTGAAGTTAATTTGTATGCCCAGCTGGTTGATGATGCTGAGGGTCTAGAAAAGATTGAAAATCTACAGAGTCACGACAACACTGAGATCTATGAGAAGTCTGTAAAAATTCTGGAGACATATTGGTTGGAGGAAGACGAAGAGACATTACCAGCAGGAGACGGAACCCAGCCAGGCCTCCGCTTTGGAGGGAGTGAGGTTCAGGTTCCATCTGGTGGCTTCAACTTCAGCTGAAGGTATGCAAAACCAGTCTGAGATAGATGGTTATCCTAAATACCACGACAGGTTCAGACGTAATTGTGTCCCTGTTATTTACCGTTTTGATTTCCAAAAATTGCAGGAGCTTTTGATTGAATGGAGCAGAAGTTTCTGATGAGGGTCAAGTTTGGGGTCAAGTTGAGGTCAAGTTGGAGTGGGTCGGGGGCATCTCGTGTGTCTGGTTTCAGTCTGGTCCGGTGTCCATTGTCGTCAGAGATGACAAGGTGGGTCAGTTTATTCTACTATGACCGAATAAGAAGACATGGGTGGGTTCAGTTGTGGCACATGAAGTTTGGTCGGCAGGGGTCATCATCACTGCCTCTTACCGTGAAATACTATGGAAGTGGTGAAATACTATGGAAGTGTCGTAGAGGCTCGTTGCTGCATGAACAGGGCCCTTGAACGAATGTGCTGGTGAGGGTTTGCTCGAATGCAGCATCGAGTTTTATAATTTGGAGTCAATAGTTTGTACGAGTAATTTAATTTTTCTTAAGAGTCGGGGATTTGTTTTGCCTTGTCAAGTGAATATAGAGTTGATGAAGTCATTTTCTGGTGTATTGCAAGGAAAATGATTAGTGGTGTTTTAGTAATATGACCTTGTGATTGTTGTATTCTATTTTTCTCCATATTTCCAATTTTTACATCTGGAGCGTGGTTTAAAGTTTCACCTCTGGTTTTTTTCTCCGTGTTTGTCTCACTTGGTTTTGTTTAATCGTGTCTGTTGGTTTCGTCTGATTTATTCAATCACCAACTTTTTTTTTTTTTAGGAAGAAAGCCATTTGTACGG